AGGACATTACACAGAGTGTTAGAGACCTGTCACTTACTATATGTGCTGAGTTGGGCTTTTCATTGGCTCATTTAATTCTTACACCAATGAGGCAGATATTAATGCTGTCCTTATACAGTCAGGGAAACTGAGCTGAGGTGTCTTGCCCAAATTCATAGGGAACAAACCAAGAGTTATCTGACTCCCAGATACCAGACTTCATCACCTTTTCCTTTGCCCAAACCAAATGAGTCACGTAGAGAAGAACACCTTCTCTCTTAGTGCCCTAAAATGTGAGTAAGGGAGCTAGAAGTTATCATCCAAGGAAGTGCCAGGTAAGTTGACATGTGTGGCATTTTAACAGGAGGATAATCAAAACTCAAGCTCTTCAAGACAGCACTGGCATCAATTTCTTTAAATAATATTCTGAATGACGGAACCAAGGATAATGTCCTACAAATGCTCTTCACCAGTTCACAGATGGGCAAGGCCGCACAGTCAGGCAGGGTGACCCTGGCTCCAGCTACAGAATTTCTTTCCTACCTCAAATCATTTTTGCAAGTAGGTGGAGAGAAAAATGTTAGTGAGCCAATAACTTAGAATTAAACGCAATTTGGGGGGTAATTTTCACTCTTCAGTAATGGAATACAACTGCTTAAAAATCATTCCGGAGTGGGAATCTTTACCACCTTCTTCTTTGTTGTCACTACTACTATGCACATCTACTACTACGTCTTCTTTGCTATCACCTGACATCTCGCTCTCCATGGCTACCACACTGGCCTAGTCCAGGGTCTCCTCATTTCTCCACTGCAGAGCATTCAGCCGCTCACCCCCCTCTGTCCAAGCTGTTAACCTATGCAGCAGTTTCCCCATCACCTAAAAATATACCCACACTCATGTGTGAACACAGGTGGCTTACAACATTTTGACCTTCATTCCCAATGCACAGAACTTCTTGGTTCTGAACGTGCCATGTTTCACACCTCAGAATCTCCACACTTGCTGGTCCCTTGACTGGGCTTGTCCTTCTTCAGGTTCATCTGATGAACTCCTACTCACCTCTAAACACACAGCCCAAGGGTCATCTCCTCTGAGAAGCCTTTCGTTACCTTTCCAGGCTCGAGTCTTTATATCCCACAAGGTTCTGCTTATTAATAATCTGTCACACTCAATGACTTCTACGTGTGAACATGTTTATTTCCCCTAGTAAACTCTAAGCTCCTAGAGAGAATGCACATGATCCTCTACACCTTTGCATCTCTCTACCCAGGAGAGCCCTGGCATATGTAGTAGGGCTCAACGCTGTTATTTAATACTGTTGTATTAAATAAAATTGAATCCAATTGTCATTACCATGGTCATCAACCCACGGTTCGGGGGCTCTCACAGGAGGCGAAATGGTTGGTAGGTGTTCCATTTAATACTTAGGGTGGTGAAAGGGGAAACAGCCAAACTCCTCGCTGATTCTGCTGGGGAGGAAAGAGAGCCCCCCTGAAGTAAGAAACAAAAGAGAAAAGCCAGGGGGGCCTGACATTGTTCCTTTGGCCACTCTTGGGTGCCAGAGATTGGGATTTGAAAGCAGGCCTACTCACTTACCTATGGGGTTCTGACAAATTTTTCTGGGAAAAAGAAAAGAAATGAGTGAAATGAAAATCTGTGGTCAGAAGATTACAGTAAGGAAAGGCACACAGTTCTGCTGGGGAATAGGAAGTGGTCTTGTCTTCCGCAGCAGGGCTGTCTAATAAATCTGGAGAGTTTTATTGACTTCATAGGCGCAAAAATAACCACCCGGAGAAGACATCGGGTTTCACTTATTTTTTTGGAGAGTAATTTTTCACAGACGCGAGGTTAAAAGAAAGTGGTTGCACGGGCCTCAGCTGCGGTGGTGTGTCTTCTGGTATGCGTCATGAACTGGGTCTCAATTCTGGGCCCATGCCCAGTTTCAGAGGCCTGAAACCTCTGTTGAAAGCAACGAGGACAGAGTGTTGCCAACATTTTATGTATGCAACTGTAGATCGATTGTCTTAGTGCAAGCGGAGACTTTGATCAAGAGCGTCTGGAGGGAGGGGTTTCATTAAGTGCTGTTTTCAACCCTTAATTCTACAGCTTTTATGTCTCCTTGTTCCTAAGTCTACTACAGCCCCCAAATGGCCTGACACAGAGAAGCCCCCCCCCCCCCAAACCCACGTCTGGCTCTCAGGCAGCAGAAGTGACTGGCGTGGAAGGAGTTCTTGGGTCGAATGGCCTGACACAGAGAAGCCCCCCAAACCCACGTCTGGCTCTCAGGCAGCAGAAGTGACTGGCGTGGAAGGAGTTCTTGGGTCGAAAACATACACAGTTTGGAAGGTTTTGTTTCTACTCCCGGGTCTTTGGTCTCAAGTTAAAACCATTCAAAAAGGAAAAAGCTTGAAGCTCGCCCGCTCCCGCCTCATGTCTGTGATTCATTAGGAAAACTTGCAAACTGCCCCTACAGGAAAACAAGCTTTTCTAAGAAAAGGATTGATAAGAGTGTATGTTTGTTGGATGAATTCTTCCTCTTAAAAATGTCCGGCCAAGAATAGAAAATTCAGCTAGTCGTAGAAAGTTTAAGTAAGTGTCTATTTCCAAATTCCTTTTAACTATCCTTACAATCATAGGGAGGCAAACTAGGTACTATTCTTAACATGTTGTAACTTTCATGTTAATTCTTGTGATGAACCTACAGGGACCTTCTCCCACGGGACAGGGAAAACTTTGCTTTGCATGGTCATATGTCTGCCATCAATCAACTGGAACACAGATAGAGCAGCTCTGGTCTCGGCCAGGTTGCTGGCGGGTGGCACTTCCTGGTGTGTGGGAGGCCACATTATCCTCAGAGATCCCAGCTATTTTGGACAGGGGTTCGAGAATGAAAATGACCATTTGATTGGGAATCAAGAAATACATTTAAAACCACTCCATCTGAAATAATCATATTTTACAGGAGATAAAAATAATTGGGTGGTTTTAACATGTATTTATTAGCAGGAAAATCCTGTTTTAAAGGTAAATCTTAGATAATAAAATAGCAAAAATTAATTGAGTCCTTGGCATATACCAGGCACTGGGCTAAGCACTTTCCGTGTGTGGTATTATTTAATTATGCCTTTGTTACTCTTAAATAGGCAGTGTTAGAATGTCTACTGTGCAGATGAGGAAAATCAGAGATCACCTTGTCCCAGGTAACACAATATGTGGCCTAACACATAAATAGTCCAAAGTGGGCCTCTTGGGGTGGGATTAGGGTTGGAACACCAAGAACCTTGACCCCTGGCTACTTTAGTCCTCTACCAACCTCTTCTGTTTCGTTGAAGCAACTCTAAGCAACTCTTTGTGGAGCAGAAATCCAAATCTTTTGACTGGATAACTCCTGAAATTTCCCCCAGTTTAATGCCCAGTGCTCCTAATTCAGGAAATTCGAGCCATAGTTAACCCCCAAAATGAGCTCCTGCAGACTGGTATTGGGCAAACCTTGCTCTTCCTTAATGGGCTGATTCAAAGTCACTCTTCACATCTCTTTAAAGAATGGGTTGTTTTTTTTTTTTCAAATTACTTTGCTCCAATACACATAGGGATGAAATCAAATTATTGTACAGATGTAAACATTCTCACGCTGCACTATTAAATGTGTTGTTTACATTGAAACAGCAGTGCAAAAGTCCGTACCTATTTATATTTCTTTAGTAGTTGTTGTTAAGTATACTATAACTAGCACATTTGCTTACACATTCACGGACAAATTGTCTGTAATAAATTCAGCGAGACACAAGCAGTAGGTGTTAGAATTTTCCGCCTCTCACATTAACTAGATGTCTGTCTGGGTATTGGCTCACTCAGAGCAGGGGGTTCATCAAGGAAAGGGGGAGACTTTTGATCTCTTTGTTAGCTCTTCACAAAGGGAAAAAACCCCACAGGCTGAACCTCTTAACTCCTAACTCACATCAGACATCCCCAAATTGCATGGTTTTAGTGTTGCTAAGGGAGGGGGGATGGGGAGACAGGCTCCTTCTTACAGTGTGGTTGTGGGTGTAAATCGGTATAAAATTATTGGAGAGCAATTTGGCAATAGCTATTAAAAATGAAATGCTCATACCCTCTGACCCAATAATAATTCACCTTCTGGGAATTCATCATAGAGAAATACTCCTACAACTGCTCAAAGATGTAAGTGTAAAACGATGTTTGCAAGAATATTTGTTACAGGGAAAATTGGAAAGAACCCAAACGTGCATTAACAGCAATTGGTTAAGGAAAGTGTGTCGGGCATACAGTGCAATACCATGGAACATTTTTTTTTTAAAAAAAAAGGACTAAAAAGATTACTTTTTACAGACAGGCATGGAAAGATGTCTAAGACATACTATGAGGTGGTATAAATATAGCACTCTTCAAAGTGGAGAGTATAATCTTATTTTTGTAAAATAATAAATGAAATTTTAATATATGCTTTGAAAAAAAAGTTAACTGGTTTTCTCAGCTGCGTGAGATTACAGAAGATTTTCACTTTCTAGGCTACATATTATTATAATGTTTCAAGATATGTTTTACACACACGCACTCACACATATGATACTTTCATAATAAGAAAAAAATAAATGTTTCTGTGGTTTGGTCCCTCAAGAGCCCTGTTAGGAAAGGTATAGAAGTCTAGTCCAAACCAATGAACTTTACTGGAAAACGAAGCTTCGCTGACACTGGAACAGTGATACCACTTGACCAGGCACGGAAATACTTCTGGCCTGAAGAGTTCATGAGCCATTGTAATAATTAGCCCTCAGTAGGGTGACCTTTCAGGGAGGAGCTAAGGAGAATACGCTTAACGTGCGGCTGGTTTTTGAAGCACTTCTCTAGGTGAGAGGACATCTGAGGACCAGAGGCTCAAACTAAGAGATCTCATCCTTCGTGGTGACTGGCCAGGGGTAGGGGATGTCCATAAACGACGAAGAAGAGTTTGTGTTTAATTTGTACGCTTTTATCAAGCTAAGATTTGGGGTCAGTTCTCTTGGATTGAGGAGCAGATCCCAATTTGGGGGAGGGCGGTGGGGAGGGGATGGCCTATAGTTTATACAATCGAGGGGATTCTTTTGACGAAAAGAATGCAAAAGTACAAATACAAAATGAGGGGCCCTGGACCAGGAGGACGCTGGTGCTAAGCTTCCTTAGCTTCTCAGTGATTGCTCTGTTCGAAAACCAAGATGACACGGGAGAGGAACGGGCACACTTCCTCTCCTTTAAGAATGATCCTGGCAAAGAGGAGTTTCCGTGTCACGTGTGGTGAAAGCTCAAGGAAGCGCCGTGAGCCCTGGGAGACTGTGAGCTGTGCTGTGGGGGATACTTGAGTTTCTGTGGATGGATAAGCTCTGGGGAAGCTCTGTTTGTTGATAGTGGCAGGCGCCCAGTTCTTGATGCTCATAAAGCTATGGCAGGCAGAGATGTATTAGGTCATCAATCTAGATTCGGGTCCAAGGCAGGATGGTTCGCTATTGTATTCATTCCAAACCTTTGTCCAGGCAGCCGGGAAAGGTCTGAGGGCCTCACTCTGAAAAAAGCTGTTCCTCTCCTCTGGTTCCTGGGCAAATGTTGAGATGTTCGATGAAAAAAATAATAATAATTTAGAGTTGGAGCCACAAAAGTACTTAATTATATCCATTCACCTAGATTTCTATCAGTTTTCCACATGAAGAAAATAATTTAGTGTAAGAAAAAAACACCCCGAAACTCGTATCTCTGGCATAAATTTTCCATCAAGGAACAAATCACTGATTTTTTCTGGTTCCTTATATTTAACTTTGATGGTAAGTTTCTTTTTAGCTTTAGGGGAAAAGCAAACGTACTTGGATTCTCTTTAGCCAGCGTTATCAAGAATGAGTAACATTTGAAAGCTGCTTTTGTGCATGGAAAGAAAGTGGTCTCCTAAAGCTTATTTTCATCTGTTTTCCCCTGTTTTTGGTAAACTTGATATGTTCCCAGTTTTTAACTTAGGCTTCTATAGGGGATATAAAAACAGTTTTTATTTTCTCATGTTTTCCTTTAAGGCCATATTGATAACGATCCTAATCTCCCAAAAGATTTTGGTGGCTCCTTTTTGTAGCAAAGAGAGGAGGCTTGTTCTAGACTAGGAGAGTAAATATGAATTGTTATTGACTGATTAATGTACGCCATCCCTCCTTAGTGAAATCTCTACTTTCCTAGGCCGTGTGTGTGTGTGTGTGTGTGTGTGTGTGTGTGTGTGTGTGTGGTTTGCTATCTTGTTCTTTATGTGTTTGATGATTTATGGGAGGAATGGCCTTGAAAATACTCAAAACAATTCCTTTCGATAATTAATGCTACTAGCAAATATAAAAGTGCTAGCAAATAATATAGCCTTTGGATATTTGCATTTGAAAGATCACTGCTATTTTAAGTCACGACATGCAGGCATTAGTTTATTGACGTTGCTGACGTCAGTGCTAGTGACGTTCAGCAACAAGCAACCCTCAGGAACCATTTGTTTTAAGAATCCCCAAGATAGGCCCCTCGTTATTCAACTATCAAGAAATTGACTCTAAATGCTATCCGAGTTAAACTTAGCTGAGTTTAATTAGATTTTAAAAGTTGACTGGGAATTCATCCAAAACGTGCTCATCAAAAAACAAAGGTATTGGAAAGTAGCGGAAAGAAATAGGATTATGGGGGACAAAATTAATTTTAAACCTCTTGAAGTGGAAAAATGTTTAAAGATAGAAGTGCTGAAGGTAAAAAAGATTTTCCTTTTATTTTAAAATGAGTTCAATACAGTATGTCTCTCCCTAGGATTTTCTGTGACATGCTCCTTTCAGAAATATGCCAGTCTCCACTAATAAATTACTAAGGGTAATGGGAAATAAAAATTCTTGAAAGGTACAAAATTACCAAAGGTACAATGTCATTGAAAAGCACTTTGAGAATATCTTCCCAACTAAAAATATTCAATTTGGCAAAATATCTTTTATGAGATTTAAATGTAATCTCATAAAAAAGTTAAAATATTTTGATTGTGCATTAAACAAATTCACTCTAGGAAAAAAATAGTGAAGGAAAATGAATTTAGTACTGTCCAGAAGAAAATGAACTAAATAATAAAAAGTTACTACTAATGGTGATCTCAATGATGTAGGCTATACTAGACACCTTACTGGCAAACTCATTGTAAGTTCTTAAAAGGATGGGTATCCATCCTGAATGGAATGCTTTAGGCATGGTCGGACTCAGTAAGTATGTGTGGAACAAATGAACATGATTGTGTTTGGGTAGATCCCAGATTGTTCACTGTTTGATTTCTATTTCTCTGGTTGTCAGTTATGCCTGATCAAAATGGTAACTGATCAAATGATAGCACTTGTATATATCAACAACCCTGCCTGTGCAAATTAGCACTTTCAAATGTTCTCTGAAAATTGACATGTCTATATTGGTTGGGAACTTGGTTTAAAATGAAAAGACATTTGTTCCTATAATAAAAATTCCAAGTGGTAGATTAGATCCAGCTTCTCAAACAACGTTGTCTAAAATGTCTCTCTCTCTCTTTCTTTCTCTCTCTCTCTCTCTCTCTCTCTCTCTCTCTCTCCCCCCCCCCCCCCTCCCTCCCTCTCCCTCTCCCTCTCTTTCTCTGAGATCCCAACTTGACCACTTTCTGCACTATTTGCATTTGTGGGCGAGTATAGTAGCCAACATGGAACCACTCAGCAACCCTCCAGTCTGAGAGTGTTTCTTTTACAGTAGAAACTAACCTTCATTGCCCTGGCTTGGGTCACGTAGCCATCCCGGAACCATGCAGTCATGCTGCAGTGGTATGCAGGTATATTAGTTTCCCATGGCGACCATAACAAATTACCACAGACTAGGTGACTTAAAAAAAGATACATCTGTTCTTTCACAATTTCTGAAGGCCAGTTATCCGAAATCAAGGTGTGAGCAGGCCTGTGCTCCCTTCACAAACCCTGGGGGAGATTTAGTTCGAACTCCTGATAACTCCAGGCATTCCTTGGCTTATGGTCACATCAGTCCAATCTCTGCCTATGTATGTGATCACGTTGCCTCTCCTCTTATCTGTGTGCCTCCTCTGTGTCTGTGTCAAATCTCTCTCTCTCTCTCTCTCTCTCTCTCTCCCTCCCTCCCTCTCCCTCATATCATAAGGTCACGGGGATAATCCAGGATGATCTCATCTCACGATCTTTAACTTAATTCCAACTGCTAAGGCACTTTTTCCAAATAAGGTATATTCACAAATTCCAGGGATCAGGACACAAACATGGCTTCTGGGGACTGCTGTTTAAGCCACTCAAGCTGATACATGTTTAACAGTCTCCTGACAGAAAAGGGAAAGCCCTGATGTATAGTATTTGCCTAATTCCGTAGTTGAATACTGCCACCATGGCTAACGACAGGCTGCCCCTGGGAAGTCACTGAACCTATAGTTGGAGGAGATGCACAGTAGCACATTCTGACACAGTACTTCCACCCTTATACCGTACGTCCAGTAGGTGTAAGGAAACTCCAGAGCACAGATAGCAGTAAACCCTAATCAAATGAATAGGAAACAATGAATGTTGAGAGCCTATTAACTTTGTTTTAAATATAATTTATTTAATTATAAGCTCATGTAATCTAGCTTTTAATAATGATTATGTTTAACAACTGGCTCACAAAATTCCTAAAAATTTACGAGTTGGTTCGGATGAGCTGGTATGAGCCAGCTCCAACATGCTACTTAATAGAATTTGCTGGTTGACCAGGCCTGAGTCACAGAGCCTGCGGCAAAGAAAGGGTCAACAATATTCAAACCACATGAACTGAAAAGAAGGTGGGTGGTTTCTTAAGAGAAAATTGGGGTGCTATTACTTAAGGAAGCGGAAAGGAATATGGGAAGACAGAAACAACAAAGCCACTTATGTATCATTGTTTAAACATATTTTAATGATTTGAGCCTAAGGCAAAATTTTGCAGCAAAGTTCAAAACAGTTACAGGTACAAGTATTGTGGCTGTGCACCAACCTGCAAGTCAATCTCTCCGTCTAAGGCAGCGGTTCTCAACCTGTGGGTCGCGACCCCTTTGGTGGTCAAACGACCCTTTCACAGGGGTAGCCTAAGACCATCCTGCATATCAGATATTTACATTATGATTCATAACAGTAGCAACATTACAGTTATGAAGTAGCAACGAAAATAATTTTATGGTTGGGGTCACAACATGAGGAACTGTATTAAAGGGCCAGAAGGTTGAGAACCACTGAACTAAGGGGAAAATCACTATTTTCCACATCCTCATTTTACTTAGCTCATAAAATCTGTTTGTAAGCCTGAGCACATGGATCCCAAGGTGGTGAGTTGCAGAAAAAGAGACATAAAGCAATGCTCTTTTTAAAAGTATCATTTAAAAAAAATGTTTAACAGCTGTATTGAAATATTATTTGCACACTATGCAATTCGCCCATTTATAGCACAAAATCCATTGGCTTTGGTCCATTCACAGAGTTGTTCAACCTTCACCACAATTAACTTTCTAACATGTTCATTGCTGTACCATTGCCTTCCAATGCCCGCCTTTTGACTCCCAGCCTTCTGCAGCCACTAGTCTATTTTCTGTCTCTATAGATTTGCCTAGTCTAGGAATTTCACATAAATGGAATCCTACATTATATGACTAGCTTCTTTCACTTAGCATGGTGTTTTAACGTTCATCAATGCTGTAACATGTATGAGTATTTCATTCCTTTTTATTGCCAAGTAGTATTTCATTGTATGGATATACCACATTCTCTTCATCCATTCATTAGTTGGTGGACATTTGAATGGTTTCCCCTTTTGGGCTATTATGAAGCTAATGCTGCTGTGAACATTCATGGACATAGTTTTCATTTCTCTTAAACCAGTGGTCTTTAAGTTTCAATGTTTAGCAAGGTTTCTTATTTTCCTCTTGCTGAAGGCAGCTGTCACTTAGGAATTAAATCAGAAATGCCAAGTTTAGATTTGAATCCTCTTAAATATTGACTCACTAACCCAACCCCTTAAGAATCCTGGGATTGGCTAAGCCCAGAGGAGAAGTGGGGGAGGGCGATGGTGTTCGTCAGGACACCTTAGGAGCTGACTTAGGGCCCACAGATCACTGTGCAGGCGATTGCACACCCGGGGCTGTACCTGGGTCCTGGCCTCGCCCCAAGCAGGCTCACAATAATCAGTCCCTCGCATGCTCCCTCGGGGACTCTTCCCAGGCAAAGTATAAAGAATAACAAAAGGAAAGCCTTATTCTCTGACCTGGAAATCAGAATCTTGTGGTTTGGAAAACTTGCATGGGAGAGGAGAAATGTTAGCGTCCCTGATAGAGGCCAGTAGAGAGTTTCATTTTCTCCCTTGCATGATGGGAGAGTTCTTCCATATGTCCTGCAGACCTGTGATAAAAGGAAGGAAAAAAAGCTCTATATTAATTTATATAGCAACTTTCTTCCAAGAAATTCGGAGTGTCTCAAACAGTCTTTCACTCATTCCCCTGAGGGAGTTTGCATAAATGTGCATAAGAAATGACTTCTTTTAAAATTTACACTCCCCAGCTAGCCAGTACTGGGCAGAAATAGAACTTAAAAAAGCAGGCCTCCTGACCAAACATTCCGCTATAATATTTTCGGGGAGGTTCTATAAATCAACGCAAAGCCTTCAAAACAGGATCTCTTCATAATATCCCCATGACTCTGCTCCACCGAGGACTGGCCTTCCTTTCACCAGGGGCCAAACTTTCTCTTCCAAAGTTTCAGAATCAACTGGCATGGCATGTACCATGAAAAAGTATATCATTTACTTACAATTAACGGTCAAGTCTGCCTGGAAGCCAGCCGGCCAGGCTGCACTCTTCCAGCTCAGCCCTCCTAGCCCAGCGCAGCTGAGAACCCCTCAGGAATCCTGGGACTGGCTGGGCTTAAGGAGAAGAGTCCTGTTCACAGTCCCCTCTCACCGTGGCTGCTTGCTATGTCTCTGTGTTGCTGTTACATGGGCTGCACTGGCCCACAGGGTCTTGATGGCCATCCTGGGGAATATATTCAGATCCACCTTCCCAAAGCTCAGCTCGGTGCCTGGATGGACGAGCCTGGGAGAGCTTCCAGCATCAGTCATTGGTGGGGGCCCAACCCAGCCCTTCGCCCCAAACCAAACAGTTCCTCTTGCTGCGCCTCTTCTCAACATAGTCTTACTGAGAGGCTCTCACGGCCCATCCCGGAGAGAGAAAAGCATCTTGGTCAGGGCCACACTGGGTCCTGCAGAATCTCAGGGAGTCACACCTGGGAATATCTTTTCTCTCACCTCCATGATACCTCTGGGCTCCATAAATTCCTTCCCATGGATTCTCAGGGAATGAGAGGTCTTCATCCAATTAGTGACAAGAGGTTTCTATCAGTGTCCCATGCTACATCCAGCCTCAGACATATGTTGTTTCGGCTGCCAAACGCTTAACCTGAACATTATTTAAAATTTATACTAAGGACTAGCTACATAGTTTGTGGGGCCTAGTGCAACAAGAAAATGAAGGGCCCTTGTTCAAAATTTTAAGAATTTCAAGATGGCAACCAAATGTTTTGGAGGCAACTTTTTACTACAGTCATCCCTCAGTATCCATGGGGGATTGGTTCCAGAATCCCCCTGCCCCCCGTATCAAATCCCAGGATGCTCAAGTCCCTTTCATAAAATGGCATAGTATATGGTACATCCTCCCATATACTTTAAGTCATCTCTGGATTACTTATAATTCCTAACATAATGTAAATGTTATGTCAATAGATGTTATGCTATTGTTTAGGGAATAATGAATGACAAGCACAAAAAGTCTGTATGTGTTCAGTACAGACACAACCATCCTAAGCCTTAACTACATAGTATCTGTCAGCCACAATGTGAGATTTATTTCAAGCAATTTTAATTCGCAGTTGGTTGAATCCAGGGATTCAGAACCCGCGGATACAGAGGGCTGACTGTAGGTAGGAGTCTTATGTGACTTCACAGGTCAATGCCCATGAAGCTAGCCCTACTGCCAACATTTGAGAAGCAAAGATTCTTAACCTCTCATAAAAACTAAAAACAAAAAATGGTGACTCTAGGTCTGCATCCGCAACTGGAACACAAAACTGGCTGGTGTGAGTTGCGACTTGTATAAGTTTGCTAGGGCTACCGTAGCAAAGAACCACAGACTGAGAAGCTTAAATGACAAGAATTCACTTTCTGACAACACTGGCAGCTGGAAGCCTGAGATCCAGGTGTCAGCAGGATTGCTTTGTTCTAGGGCAGCGGTTCTCAACCTGTGGGTCGCGACCCCTTTGGCGGTCGACCGACCCTTTCACACGAGTCACCTAAGACCGTTCTGCATATCAGATATTTATATTATGATTCATAACAGTAGCAACATTACAGTTATGAAGTAGCAACGAAAATAATTTTATGGTGGGGTCACAACATGAGGAACTGTATTTAAAGGGCCAGAAGGTTGAGAACCACTGTTCTAGGGCCTCACTCTTGGCTTGCCTACTCACTGAGGCCCCTCCTCACTGTGTCTTAGTGGAGTTTTCCCTCTGTTCCTGTGTCTGGCCCCTTCTTCTAAGGACTTCTCTAGTCACAGTAGATTGGAGCTCACCCTAATGACCTCCTTTAACTTCGTAACATCTTTCAATCTTTACCTCTAAATACAGTCACATTCTGGGTACTGGGGGTTAGGACTTCAGCCTAGGAGTGGAAGATGGATACAACACAATTCAAGCCAGAACGTAGCTGGCCCCCGACAGAGGAGGCACAGCGCTCCCGGTCACTGCACTAACCCCATCCTCCACAGTAGCCATGGTCATCTTGTCTGTGCTGCTGTTTTTCCTCCCAGCTCACCTCTCTCATGCAGAGGGACCTACTCCCCCCACGCAGCACATCAGATGCCGACACTGTCTATTACAGGGCAATGGCTGCCTACTCCCTCCACATCCGCAAAACCAAGATTGCTCCTCCAGTGACCTTTTGCAGGACTGGATCAGTTTCTTAAAAACAAAAGGCAAAATGCACCCACTACACAGAGATAAGAAAGGAGATATTGCCGGGAGACACAACTGACTCCTCCTCTCAGCGTCTAACCATGCAGGGGTAAGGAGCGTGAACTCTGGATGACACCATCATTTTTCCTGGGGCTGTTTCTACTGCAAATCACCTGACCATACCAGGAACAGCCTGAAATTTCAGTGGAACCCAACCACACAGCCCCTTGGACAGAGCATACTCCCAAATTGGCCTTTGTACCTATTTGTGGAAACGTGAGCTAGATTATAGCTGAAAACGCTGCTAATTCTGGGGAAGGTTTTGGTCTTGTGCCTGGAACTATTGAAGCAGATATTCACACCTACCACATGGAACACGTTAGGAGCATAGTTTCCAGCGCCGCACGTTCGTGCTTTATTTTTAAAGGAAACAGCAGCATCGGAAGGCCTGCTCACTCTGCTGCTTTCTGTAGGAGGCCCCACAAAAGGCAGAGGGGACGCCTACCGTGCTAAAAAGAGGCACAGTTTGCATTTTTAAAAGGAAGGGGGACACACACACACACAAAAACACCCTTTGCTCAGGATCAGGAACTCGGGATGCTGAAACATACAACATTTGCACCTTCATAGCAATTTTTCAAAAGGTCAAATTTGCAAGGCTCTGGAAAAGCAGTGTAACATGTTATCCAATAAATCTCAGTAGTAGAGCTTGGAAAAGAGCTACCAACATCTTACTCTCACCCCTTTGGTTTTAATGCCCGGAAAGGGAGGTTTTAAAATGCTCTATGACTCGCCCCACACCCGATTCTCTACCTAAAATGCAGGATTTTGCTTTTTGGCTAAACAGGCATTGTCTGGTCTGCCTCCAGTGCATGCAAGAACATAACCCTCCTCTCTCGACATCAGAGTCACTATTCAGATTCCAGAATTGAGAAAAGCAAAGGCTATTTCGACTTCCACTCCCTTAGCAAACAAGAAAAGGCATCTGACCCGAGGACTTCCACAGCTGGTCCCTGTGTCTGACGGCCCAAGGTTCCCGGCCGCAGCGAGCTGGCGCCGACTGCCAGGCGGACACCAGGGGGCGCAGCATCCTTTGTCCTGACGCCGGCATTGAAGGCAGGCTCTGCAGCCTGGCTGGGCCTCCAAGAAATCGGACCTTCCCTCCTTGTCACTGGTTTTCTCTGGAACGCAGCCCCCTTCATTCATTGAAAATCCGTTTCCTTCTTCCTCCCTGAGGCTCGGATTCTTCCTCGGGACCATCGAAGATGTGTGCATTTCACAGGGTGTCGCTCCTGGGTCTCGACGGATTTTCAGACACGCCAGCCCTCCACACCTGCTCCTCCTCCGCACAGCCTGGGAGACCATGGCCCCCCGCCCATTATTTGCTCTCACTTGGAGTCCCCTCAACTCAGGGTGTTTCTAAAGATTCTTCCAGAAAGAAGGAGCCTCGGGGACAGGACGAACTTCTTGGAAGAATGATCATATCCGTCTCCTAACACCCCTTCCCTTTCCACTGGAACACAGGATAAACAAATGAAATGCATGCTGCCCAGCACGTACCCTCCCCCTCCCCTGCCTGCTCTGGAACAGTCGCAGGTCAGCCTTGGGTGCTGGACACTTCCGCAACGAGACAGGCTCCAGCATCTTTTCAGCCACACCTGGGACTGTGCACCCCAAGCAGGACGAGGCCTCCTCCTGCCTTCACCAGCTGAGCATGGCATGTTCTCCAGTCCAAAGAAATCCGCTTTGTACTCCCAAAGTCTCTGATCCCAAAGATTCAGTGCTCCCATTTTTCACCAATGAGTGAACATCCCCTTCCACTTGAAGGCACACTTCTAGCCCTGGTCCTATTGACACAGCACACAAAAACGCAAACCCTCAAACCCCCCCCAAAACACACCCTTTTGCAAAGAACACTGTTTGGAATTCAAGGGCCATGGGGGCCCTAGCGCAGCTGCTCTATTTACATAAAGATTTCAGGGATACACAGTCCTTTCCCTGTCTCTCCTTTGAGCTCCCCAACAATGCTGAGAGGGAGGCAGGGAAAGTTAACGCTAAAGAGGCTTACCCCAGTCCCAGAGCTAGTCCAGGGTGGGGGCAGCACGGGGGGGGGGGGGTGGCAGTACTGGGGTGACATTACTTGGGTGACAGCGGCCTGAGGAGAGGAATGCAGTCATCACAAGTGGTTATCAGGTTCTCTTCGTGGAAGGGGCCTGTGGGCTCAGGTCCTGAAACACTGTAGCAATAGCGGGAGCCTAGAGGGGCAGGTGGGGAGGAGGGGAAGGGGTGACGTAAACGCTGACCTGACCCTTCATTTTATCTGTGGCCTCGCTCACTCCTTTTTCTCCCCACTCAGCTTAGCTCACGTGGACTAATGGAGTCTGGAGTCAGTAGCC